AATAAATTTGAAAATGTCTCCAGTTTCTTTATAAAATAGGATTTTGTTTGGTTTGAATATTTGATCACTGCCCAAACCAAATGTTTTTAAAGGCTTTATTGTCCAATATTTTGGTTAAAGCTTTGACCAGTACAATGATCTCTTTGTATTTTTGTTTAGGTAAAAAGTAGGTCTACCACATGTGCCCGCCCCTATAGCAGAATAGTGTTGTGCATGTGGCTCTAGTTAAACGTGGACGTGAGCCTCCGCAGAACATCTGTCATAGATTAGCAGTAAAGTGAAAGAGGCAGTTCCTGTTCGTACCAAAAAAAGGAAAAAAAGGAAAAAAAAAATCTGCCCATAATTTTCCCCATGAAAGATAAAAAGAGGGAGGGTTTATAGGTCAGGAGCACAGCACAAGTCGAGTTCTGTCGAGGCATGATTCTTCTGTTTTACAAGATGGAAGTGACAAAAGCCCTATACACAGTCATTTATGGGCATGTGCTTGTCAAATGTGTGTTCAAGATCTAGAAGGCTCCTATGTACCAGGCACCACAATTTTTTTGTTATCGCTTTCATAAATTCACCACAAATCTACTACCTAATCTTTGTGCTAGTACCAAACCCAAAAGATTCAGTATGCCAATGACAGTAATGTGAATATCACTGTTAGAGATTCCCTATATGTAAAGCAAAATCTTACTTTTTCAGCCCATTGTCTTACCATCAAATTCAAACATATATTTTACTTCCTGAATAATGCAAGTACAATCTATCGTGAATACTGCAAAATAAAGCACGCTTATATTATGATATTAAAATTCTAGGTATTTGTGGCATTAAAATCCAAGAATCCTCAATCTTTTGTTAGTAGGGACAGAATCCTTTACTGTACAAAGCTGGTACAGTGCATTTCCACCTACCACCCTTCATGTTCAAACAGAGCATGCATCTGTGCGATAGAACAGCTACACCTTCTCCACTAAAAGCAACTCAATCAATGAAACATGAAGAATCTCTCAGGTACAAAGAGGACAGCTTGTTATTCAGGCAGGCTCGCTGTCAGTCAGAGGCCGAGGGGTGAAACTGCTTGGGAAGGCAAATCACTGTTGGTTAATGATATGGGTCAATTGTTGAGAGGGGTAGGTGCTCCTCTCCAGTCACCTCTGTATGGGGTTTTGTATTCCATACTGCTGTGCCCTTGCTGAGCCATTCAAACAGCTATGTAGAGAAATACAATCCTCTCTTGATGGGAATCTATTTACACTGTGTTCTGCATGTCAAATTGCTGACATTGCAAGAGAAGTCATTTCAAGCAAAAAGCTCAAAGGTATGTGCAATTTTGCCCTTTACAAATATCTGTACTAGGGCTGAGAACCACAGGGTCCCTCACGATTTGATACACCACACGATACATGGCTCACTATATGATATATTTAGCAACAATATTCCTTTGTTAAACCACTGCTTGTGTAGCCTGATTCATCAGCCGGTTTCACTTTGTGGAAACTGGCTGACCTCACAGTATTAGGATTTGTTCTCTCAAAGGTCGGTAGGTACTTTTTAATTTAACCAATCGCTGCTATTTGGTTGTGACATAAACGCTAACGGGGCTAACTGGTATATTAAGCTTTTCCCAAATCCTGTAGGAAGAAGGGCAATAACGTCTTTCCCCTTGAAAAAATTCACCAAACATTCTCTTTGTTCCAGCTTTAAATCCTCAATCTTGGGAATTGTTGACAACACAGAATGTATGGCTTTTTGCTGATTGGCTGGAGCCCGGACTCACACTTCCGGGGTTCTTGCAAACCGTCTAGTGTATTCCGATTCCTGACCTAGTCGCTGGAGAGAAATTAATTTGAGAGGCACTAGGTGGCACCAACCTGGCTCCTACTTGTGCAAAGTTACTATGAAATATCTATTTTAATCATTAAAACAGTGAATATGTCAAGAGTATTCCATGAAAAAGTTTAAGCAGCAAAATTGTACAGTCACTAATTGGTAAAAAAAAAAAAAATCATATTTGAAAAACTTATATTTGTGCACACGCCTAGTATAGATGCAGCATTGTTCACAGTGGCAATGGACATGGCAGGACAAACTCAACAAACCTAGTCTTTGTTAAGGCAATGGTAACTGTGGTAAAGGATGTAGTACTACTAATCCTACTATCAACTATCAATATACGCTATATGCTATGTAATTCTGCATTAACATGAATCGCTCCCACTCCACTCAATTAATCAAATGTCAATTACTTTCAAAGAAGTAATTTTAAGGTGCATGCTTCAACAAGGAATTTCCAAGGTTAAACTGAGACTTAGCACCTCGCTCACAAATGCCTCAAATGCATGTACACGGAGAAGGTGCCAAGTCTGTCTGCCATGCTCGAAAATGTACGAAACATCAATAAAACGCTAGATATGAAATGTAATGTAAGCGTGAACAGTCCATATGACTTTGTGGTGGATACGATTTGGGCACAAACGCATCAACATGTCACTGTATAACCTCTGGCTCTGGGAAGCTTCTGTCATCTTCACAACATATCGGAGATCTAACCCCAGAACAAATGCTAAATATAGAACTGGGACTGACTTTCCCTACCGTATCTATCACACTACCAGCTCTGTTAAACAAATGTATGCCTTTTAGCCCTTCCTTGGCATTGTTAGGGCCGAAATCCTATGCAAGCTCAATTATTAAAGCATCAAAAACACTACACTACACTACACTACACTACACTACACTACACAGTTGAGGCTCCAATTTAGACAAACTGCTCATTATTTCCAATTTCTTTTCTGTAACTCACATGTTGTTATTAAGAGAAAGCAACTCTTTTTGAATTCAAGTTCAAGTATTTTCACTATTGCGCTGTTGAAAATTTAAAACTGCATTCAAGATACTCAGACTCAAAGACACACTACTAAACTGTTTTGGTGGAGAGTTCGCTGCCTGCTTGTCTCCATGGAAATGCTATTAGATCACCTGGAATGTTTCACACTATGGCACTAAACATATCTACCTTGTTAGAGACAAACATGAGGCAGCATCGGTCAGATCTGTGGACCTCGCCCACAGTGAGAATGCATTTTTTGCAAGGTTTATGAGCAATAGCACATTGGTAAAGGTAAATGTAATCTTTAACTCCACAATGAGAAATTCTGAGCAAACATCTCCATGGACAAAAGTTACACAGTCAATCTTTAAACACTTGACACAGGGGTAAATCCGTTGAATCAATGATGAACTTTAATTATTGACCTTTCAATGAGTGACACACAATCCTCTAAGTGGTACAGTTCTTTTGTTCCATTCGGTCTCCTTTACCTCAAATATTGACTTGTATAAATAGCCTGTTACTTCATCTGACCTTGTTCTGCATCTTGCTTCCTGCTTTCGGAGGAGCAGACAGGAGCAAAGGAAGTCTCCCCAGCAATTAATTGGGCTACTTATCTGTAATGTGAACAGTGGATATTACATCTCCAGTAGATATTAAATTAAAGATCTCTCAAGTCTTACAAAGCCAAAGCCAAATAAAAAGGAAATGAGAGCCTATTAATTACTATTGATTCTTTTATAATAAAACAGCCACTTCCTCTATTTACTCAGGCCACTGTGTGTCTTAAATTATCCGGATTCAGCAAAACGTCTTTTAGTCAAGCCAAGCAGTGTAGTCTCTTCTGAAAACCCACATGTAATGTTTAGATATCCTCTTGTAAAAAATCTGTTTGCAGATGACCTGCTCTAATTGGTCAAAAAAAAAGGTTCTTGCTGTGTTTTACCTATATGAGGTAAGAAGAAAGTTTCTCACTATGGTGATAATTTAAAGCCAAGTTGACTATGATGATTATGGACTTTATGTGGCTGAAGTATCCTTGCAATAGGAGCATGGGTCATTTCTGAATAGTGTAAGTTGAAGCTGACACACAAAACGACAGATCAAACCCTTTAATTAACACTGGATATAAAAATAAATAAATAAAAATGCTCAATGAATCCCATGATAAGAATCCATAAGCTCCTTGCTGACTAACGTAGATGCAGCCTTTATTAAACATAAGCTGAAATCAATAGGTCTTATTAAAACAAAGCACACAGTTAACTTTGTCCACAGCTGTGTCAGCTCCTATCCGCTGCCATATTGTGCACATATTTGTTTACATGCCAGAGTGAAGTGCACCTTCATGTTTACAAATCATTCCATAACCTTTAGCCTCATCCAAGCATCAGCCAAATCTAGTAAATGATAAATCAAGTAAATGGTAACGATTTTGATACATTTTGACACAAGGCTGAAAAACATTCTTTCAAATTTCGTAATTGTTTTTCTTCTGTCTACTTTCTGTCTTAGTCTAACATTTTCTGAGTCATTCCCAGACCCAGTCACACAATCTTAGTGAAATCTGCCAGTATTTCACAGTAGGCTGGAGTGTGAATGCTCTTACGGGAACTCACTTTACACATGGAACCTCCAAGTCCTAAACTAAACCTGCGAGGGAATCTCTTCACTATAAGAACTATGATCTTATAATAAAGCTTTTATAGTTTTAAAATAAACCTTTGTGGAATGTTTGAGAAGAATAACAAAATTGACAAAATCATCTGTAGGCTGGGTCAGTCCACATCTGGAATATATTGCTTTCTGTGCTTTTATGCCCAAAATCTCAGTATTCACTAAAGGGAGGGGTCGTGAACTTTTATGTCTAGAATGGCCACATTAGGACACTACAACTTTAACCGAGCTCATTAAAAAAATATTACTATAGATAGATCTTTTAAAAATAATTTCTCTCTTTCTTGTCTTTACGCTCAGACATTGAGAGTGGGCGGTTATGGCAGCATAACTGTTAACAAAAGAATAATTCTGACATCATGCTTTTACGATAGTACTGCTGAGATACAATAACCAGATGTGCAGTGTTATGTTAACAATACCAGAGAAGTGGCACATGCAGACAACTGAGCTCCACGTACGAAACAAACGGTTACTAAAATAAGGTGATTTTGAGACTTACCCAGAAACAAAGAACGAAATGTGGCAGACATCACGGCTGGAAATCCCAAGCGTGGCGTGGTGGTATCAGTGCGTTCAAAGTACCTTCACATACATGCGGCTTGCCAAAGTGCAGCGGGTACAACAACGCGACACCATCAGCGATACCAGACGACAAATGAGAGCCAAATTTTCATTGACAACACGAGTCCAAGGGCATCATATGTTGAGCGCGGAGCTGAAGCCCGCAACAATAAACGCAGCTTTCTTCCCCTTTCTCGTCATGTCGCTTGGGATGTACTTGTGGTCAAATCAAAGTTCCCCGTGCGTCTGGCTGTGGCGGTAGCGTGGGACGTGTCTGTAGGTCCGCGGCGCTCTGCCTCCTCCTCAGCAGTCTCTCCTTTCTCCGCTGCACAACGTGTCAGAGAGGGAGAGAGGGAGCGAGCAAACAAGAGAGGGAGAGGAGAAGGAGAGGAGGAGGGCGGAAAGGTGGAGGCTGAGGAGGGGATGCAGATGGATGGAGACCTCTAGAGTCTGAACTTCTCTTCTGTCACGGTCCGGGCGTTTTAGCGACACGCGTGAACGGGGCTGGTGGCTCGTGCAGGGCATGGAGGACCCCTGTGGCGTGTGCCATGCGGGGACCAGCCTATTACTGCACATTAACTTCCTTTTATTCATTAATCACAATGCAGAGCCTAGCTAATGTCATAATGTAATGCAATATACTGGCTCTCTCTCTGAGAATTAGGTTAGTCTTCTCAATATTGTTACTTGTTTATTTAATATGGCTTTATAGTGTTTACCAAGACGAATATTTGAAGGGCTATTGTGACAGATTCCGCATATGCCTGTCTTGCCTTTGTCAGTAATAGCATTTATTTACTTTTATTTAGCAAATTAATATAATTAAAGTCATGGAGATAATTCTCTTTGAATTTCACCCTGCTGCAGAGCTATAACTTAACTATTTTCTTTGTTATAAAGTACAGAGAATGAGATGAGATAATCTTGTAATGAAAATCATACTCTAATGGCAGAGATAAAAGATATATAAATGTTCAATTTGCTACAATTCAGTGTTGACCGCACTGATTATGTAGCCATTATACTATAAATGTTGATAACATTCATTAAAAAGGCTCATATCACACTATTTTCTTATCTATGTCATAATATTGTTTCCTCGTCACAATCATACCTGGTGTTGTGTTGTGTGTTTGTTTCATTCACATTCAAACCCTGAATATTTAAACTGACTTCTTCTCTCAGACTGAAAATACTCTGCTCCACCTTGTGATGTCATATGCTAATACAGGTAGTGCTCCACTGTGTTTTTAAACTCTATACACCTTTGCTGAAATCATTTGGACAATGTCAGCCCTGGAATAGTCAATATGAACAGCTGCTTCATGACATCCAAGGTGGAGCGCAGCATTTTGAGCCCAGGAGATGTAAACAGAATAATTTTAAAACATGTGTGAATGAAACAAAACACAACTCCAGGTATGATTTTGAGGAGGTAACAGCATCATAACATGGTCCAATGCACATTTTGTGTAATATAGGACCTTTAATATTCTTTAAATGTGCATAATTTAGAGTAAAATCAAAATCAAATGCCTCTGAATTGAAGTAGAAATGTCTCTTTGGTGTAATAAGTGGGAAGTAGATCAGGATTCAACCAGTTCTGACGATGTATGTTTCAAAGACTGTTTATATTATGCAGGCGGGTGACGCGTGTTTTGATCAAAGGCACTTTTAACATGTCTTATCAACCAGAAGGCACATTTTTACTCACATACATTTTATCTGTCCACCAGCCACTTTTTATTCTATCCATCATTTTCAGAGGTGCCACTTTAGATTTATTCATGTGATGCTTTGGGCACACAGCGGTCCATGGCCTGAGTTAGGTAAACAAACAGAGGAGAAGTGCTTGGCCAACGCTAATGGATGCACTCGGACCTTGAGTCAGATTAATCCTCCCTCTCTCTCTCTCAACAATCTGTAGAAATAACAAAGGCTTTTCACTCCACTGGCGGTCTGCCTCTTAGCCCTCAAGTGGCCCGCATGCTCTTCAGGACCAGCCCGCTCCCATTGCTTTCCGTTCCAATAACTAGATAGCCTGAAACAATGTCTCACATGCACAAGTAGACAACACACACATGCACACGCACACACGTACATACAACTATACGCACACTGGCTTTCTTCTCTCCCTCCCCACCACCAGACACAAGAAAACATGTCGAGAGATGACATACATAACACAGGCCCGGATAGAGGCGCATGCTGCAACAATAGCGTGTGATGACTTCATGGGTTGCTATGGGCGGATTTTCAAGATTAAAAAGTTATTATTGATCCATTATTTATTGGAGTGCAATAAAGTATTGGGATATAGAAGGAATAATTCAAGTCAGCATAAGTTAGAATTTGTTTTGTAATTTCTTAAGATGTGGATGTACTTTAAGAACCCGTATTATGCTATTTCCTGATCTATGTTATAATGTTTTATCTTCTTTAAAAACATACCCAGACTTGTGTTTGGTTTTATTCGCATAAACTCAGAATTTCTAGGTTGAGTTCTTCTCTCAAACTGAAAACACTCTGTTCCACCTTGTGATGTCATGTGGTAATACAGGAAGTGCTCCACTGCATGTTTAAACTCTACACACCCTCACTAGAATCATTTGAATAATTTCAGCCCTGGAATTTCCAATATCTACTGAATTAAAGGTATAATTTAGCTGTTAACTTGAAAACTACCGCTTCATGACATCTCAAAGTGGAACAGAGCTGTTTGAGTTTTGGAAATGTAGACAGACTGAAACAAATTGCAAATCCAGGTATGTTTTAATGAGGTAACAACACTATAAAATAAAGCTAAATAACAATAATGCTCATGAGAGTAAATTTTCCATAATATAGGACCTTTAAAGTACAAAACTGTATTTTCTTTGCAACAACTAATGATAAGCAAAACAATTTCAGAGCTCTCAGGATAGATTAGTGTTCACTGGACACATTCATACAAAAACTCACAAACAAAAGCTAAACATGGTTACGGCTCTGAACTGCTTGGATATGAGCTGTCAGAATGTGATAAATGGCAGTAATGGAAAAGCTGTGCTGCTACACAGAAATGTCCCTCTGTAATAGTTCAGCATGTCGTATGTTTAGGAGCCCACAGCCTCAGTTTTCAGCACAGATCAACTTTTAATCTCACAACTCTGGAACAGTGTGGAGCAAAACACAGCTTTTGTACACGTGGTCTGCAGCACAGTTTTCTCAAGGTCCTGTTATCCCAGTCATCCTTAAATGGGGTTTTCCCAGTTTATCTAAAACATGCTGCACAGATCTGGAGAAGAGTCCCATTGAGGGGAGCTGTACACCCACTTCTCCTCAGGTTTTTTTTTTTTTTTTTTCTAGCAGTGAAGGATGGGTCAGAGGCAGTGAATGCCCTCTCTTGCATAATATTTACCATAACCCCTCATGTTTGCTGTTATATAATTATTTACATTCAAAGCCTATTGTGTCACAAACAATACAGTGAAGTTTTAGGGTGTTAAATATTAATGATATTCTTGTTTATTTACGTGCAGTTTAGTACCAGTAAATGATTGTGATTATTATTAAGAATTAATTTGCAGATATTGTGGACAATTTGGGTAGACTTTTTCAGTTGCTGTCTCGATAAAATTTACTGTTTGACTGCATATGGTAGAGAAGGTTTCAACTGTGGTTGTGTGGACATTGTTTTAACATTGTTTTTACATTGAACTATTACTGAAAGAATGACATACTGATGTACAGCAATTTATACCAGCTTGTTACAATATGTTGTTGTATGTACCCCTGGTGTCCTTAACTGTTTGATACTACATGACATGGAGTATACAGTGCATTCACAGTGATAATATTGAGTGTACAGTGTCTCCCACGAGCGGAGATGCCCTGGGAGGAACCTGCCTGTGTTTGGTGGCTTGGCCTTGGTGCATGATATAGCACCCCGATGCAGATGGCCTCACAGATGGCTGATATTTATACCAGCAGGCCCTGAAAAGTCACAAGTGTGGAAACTGCTCTTTCTCTATGATTAGTTTCACTTCACCCAAAGCACAATCATGTTTCTGTGTGCCCATCCCTTGCGGCTCATGTAGCACAATTTGTGTATGTACTAGTAATGTTTTATTGGCCTTGTTTGATGTTTTATAGCAATAAACGTCAATGTAGATTTCTCCTCTTTATAGTGATGGGGTTGTAGGGATTCTCTGTATGCCCTCTGTAGCACATAAAAGTGTAATCCCCTAAGTGCAGGGGCCATGATTTTTTCAGAAAACATCCAGGCCCGACATGGGTTGCATTTTAGCCGAGAGCACTCCAGACTTCTGTACTTTAAGTGGATTTGCAATTTAAATTTGAACAACAAGACGCACCTTAGACCTGTACGAGAGCACTGACATTATTCTCACCCTCCAGAACAGCTGTATCTCCTTCATCGTACCATTACAAAGAGTGATAGTGCTTTGTTGATGCTCTGACGACATCCCGCAAAACACAAGTGCATGCCGGGATGCCTGGCTCGGACCACGTCTTCTCCCACCTCGGGGAATGAGGGGAGTGCGTAGTTAAAAGGATTTCCAAGTAACAATATAGATGTGAAGAAGTCTTTTGTTTAGGCCCGCTATTTTTAGAAAGGCGTGGTGCTGCTTTGCCGTTCGTTTCTCACGGCTCACGGATCCTTTATAATTTAATGAGGAAGAGGGCCACCCTGAGATTTATGGAGAGCTTCTCAATGCAGCATTGGCCACTTGGCTTATTGATCCAAATTGGATGTTTGTTTATGGGCCAGTAAAGCCTGCTCTCTCCAGCACTGCGCTCCCACCTCCTGTACATTCAAATGACTCGGCTTCTTTTCATGCCTCTGTATTACTGTTTGATCTCGTTAAACATGGAACTAATCCTAAGAGCCTGCCGGAATAACAATGCATGCAGGGCCCATATCACACTCACCGCTACTTCAATAAAGACAACTGAATATCTCTTATTTGTGAAATTTCGTTTTTGATCTTCCTACACAATATTCAGCCTTATAATATCGCAAGATGCTATCACTGCGCTGGTCCCATCTCTATATGGGTTGTGTGAGGACATCCAGTATTGGACCTATTCCAAATTATTGTATGGTCAAGGGAGCAGTGTATGAATGTAAATTGTTTCACAGTACACATTATAGGAAGCAAACCATTCGGGACCATGAAGCGAATACATTTTACGCATTGTGGACATCAGCTGCACTCCCAGATTTAACAACAAGTAAACATTACACATGCATTCAAACCAATTAGTGCTTTAAGTTGTAATGAAGGAGAGACTCTTAATTTGAATT